GCATTTTTTTTTTTTTTTAATTTCGCATACCTCATATATAACTTTATGCAGAGGTAACAGTATGCCCCCTTGGCCAAACAAAACCTGTACAGGTGAAACTTGGGTTTTTTTTTTTGTGGTGAAAAAGTCCAATTAATCTTTTTGCCCCTCCGGCATGAGCCAGTTCCTTCAAGTATTCCATCCCCATACTGAATGAACACTTGTACGTTGTTGCCAAAAGGGGGCCACACTGACACGTTAATTTTTTTGTTTTTGTTCCTGAGGGGGAGGGGGTCTGCCTTCCCAAACAAGGTGTCAGTGATAACCACCACATGTGCGCAATTGCAACCAGCTTGGGTAGCTGTGTCCACTTGCGCCGTGAAACAGAAGTGGCTGTGACACACTTATGGGCCCACTCCGTTGTGTCCATTTTTTTTTTTTTTTTTCTTTGCTTTCCCACATTAAGTTGACAAACCGAAACGCACCACACCTACGTGGTTAGCGAACGCTCAGACGCTTAACAGGTTCGTTGAACAAAATTTGGCACACCCTGCTCGTATAGTTGTTGCCAGTTCCGACCCTCCTATAACGGAGTATTTTTTTGAGCAGCTCAAGTGACACATATTCATCGTGTGTGCCACATAAACGAATTGAAATGATCTGGGCTCGCTTCCCCAACCCTTCGAGGGAGCGGCTCCAAACAAGTGTTCATCATTAAATATTAAAAACTTGCATACATGGGGGATTCTCTTTCATGAATATTTATACTAACAACGTGCATGCAGAGATAACCGTGTGCATGTGGCCACGTCTGGTACAAAAATTAAACGATAAAAAAAGGGGGATAGCTATACAGGTATACATAAATAAATGAGCACACTGAGACACCGTCGCAAAGATGGATCGTTCCATCAACCGATTGGCCCCCCTCGTGGGTTATGTGGGGGAAAAAAAAAAAAAAAAAAAAATTCATCCCATTCTTCCATACCCTCACTGTATATACTTGTCCACGTCAAACTTAACCGACCTCGCGTCCCCCACGATAACGTTTAGTAGCACTGGGAAGGAGTTAAAACTGTCGCTCATGACATGCTTGATCTGCTGGACAAAATCTTCCCGATTATCCACATAGCACCCATACCCTCCGTGGGCAGTCACATAATTTTCATACTTGCTAAAATGGTAAAGAGCGGAAGGATTGTGAAGAAAAAAATGGGCATCCTTGTTCACCTCGTCAAAATATGGTCCCTCCGTTTGGAAGTCCCTATCGCCGTATATGCCGTTGTTGTTTAAAATAATGAGAACAATTTTTAACTTGAAGCGGCATATGGTTTCCACTTCGTTGGAGGTAAATCCAAAAGAGGAATCTCCTAAAATTGCAAAAACGATATTTTCCGGATCATTCAGAGCGGCACAAATAGCTGCGTTCATTGATACACCCATCATGCCATTAATCTGTGGTAAGACAAAATTGTATGGCCCCAGCTGGGGCAAATATAATATTCCCAAGTGTAGCGTGATGGACCCTTCATTCGTGATCACGACTCTTTTTTTTATTTCCTGGTTGAGGAACTTGTGCTTTCTCTTCGCCCCTGTTGTGTTCACCCTCATTTTGCTCTTATTGGGAAGGGCGTATCCAGTCGTGTCCTCCCTTTGGTCTCCCTCCTCCGAGCTGCTGTCACTGATATCGCAGTCACTTTGCGGTGCGCCCTGGTCCACTTGGCCATCCCCATGAGGGAGGACCTCTTCGTGAAACACCCCGCGCAGCTGTTCCCTGTCAACGTACTTAAAATAATCGATAAAGTACCTTTTGTATGTCGCTGGAATTTTATTTTGAGTAAAGAAATAATCGAGCAGCAAGTGTCTAAGGATAAGCATGACCTGCTCCATGGTAAAACATTCAGAAACGAAATGCTTCGTCGCCACTTGACAGCAAAGTTTATGTATGCTCTTCTGTTTAGCTTCTTGGATAGCAGCCACCCAGCTCATTCGTGCGTCCACATCAATGGAGAGGGCCGCCCATCCTCCCTTGAGGGAGAAATACAACTGCTTCACAACTCTGTACAAGTCGGAGAAGAAGAAGTGCTCGCAGTGAGAGTCCACTTGAGGGTCAAATACATCATTCGTTAAGTCCACACAAAGCATATTCTCCTTTTTGCATTTTGTGAATTTTCCAAAGTTGAAATAAAAATTGTAGACAGTTCCAAAGGCAAAGCAAAAGTCCAAATTTTCGAAGAGGAATGATTTACACTGATTAGCATTATATATATAATTTTCTTTAATAAAACACTTGGCCATGGTGTTCGTATATATGGGTATTTTCATCAAGTGAGACAATTTCAAGACGTACTTAACGCCATGGTTGCAGTTGGTACCTAGGAAGATCGCTCCTCTTCTATTACTTTGGTAAATTCTACAAAATAGCTGCAACAATTTATTGAACCTTTGGTCATCCTCCGTGGAGAGAGTAATTTGTCCGTTTAACACGTTCATTGGTTGGTGGTACTTGCGTGCGTAGCAGTCACTTAGATCCAATAAGTGTAACGCCTTGTCAAGGGTCACTTCCTTCCCGAGTAGGTCATAACTCAAATTTAAGTAAACCGGAGACTTCATCCTTACACATGTTTCAACACAATTGTACAGCTGCTCAGGAAAGGCATCTGGCGAATCTACATGGAACACCCCTGCACACATCTCCTTGGCCTTTGCTAAAAATTGCTGCTGTGGAAAGAACTGGAAATTGTGGTGCTTTTCAAACTCAGTCAAATATTTAGAAGTAAAATTTTCAAAGCATATTAGGACAAGTGGGAAATGGTTCACCTTGGCGTTGTATAATCCTGGTAGGGCATTTACAAATGCGGGTCCTGAACATGTTAAAATAATTCCCACCTTTTTCTTTGCCTTGTCTTGGTCAAAATAATTTACATAGCTACAACTGAGGCATGCATTTATTTCGTTCCTAAAACTTATGTAGTAAATATCGTTGCGCAAAAAACTGTAAATAATTTTGTTCAATGGAATTCCATACAACCCGTAAATGTAATCATCCAGGTGGGCCTTCTTCAAACATAAGGCTAACACATCGAATAGGTTCAGGGAAGTTTTTTTCAAATGGTCCACCCCTTCTGCCATTTTTCTTCTCGATACCTTGCCGGTGTCAGTTTTTAAGAAATGATTCACAAAGTATATCTTCTTTGGCACTTTGAAATCCGCCAGTCGTTTCTTCATGTGCTCCGTCAGTTCCTCCCGCAGGTGATGGTACTTAAGGTTCAGGCTCAGCGATACGTGCACGTTGAATTCGTTTTCAGGGGGTGGTTTGCCATGCTGGGGGGTGGTAAACGATTGAGTAAGCGAAGTGGCCCCAGACGTGAAACTTCCCGGCTGCGCCTTCTGGAGGAAGGGGGCTTCCCCACAAGGCAACTGCTTCTCGTCCAAAATGACGGCCGCGTGGATGGCCTCCCCATACACCTCATCGTTACAACCCAAAGCTAAGCAGTCGGAAACCCGAGGGTCATCCCTGACCACATCATCAATTTCATTTGGAATGATCTTTTCGCCCCCCCTGTTGATTATGTCCTTAATTCGGCCAGCAATGAAGAGGTAGTTCTCTTCATCTACGTAACCAACATCTCCAGTTTTAAAAAAAGGGACAGATTCACCAATGACAAAGAACTTGTTCCCCTCCATATACTCTGCCTTTTCCTTCAAAGTATTTACATGAACACATATATTTTCATTGTCCTTCATTTCTTTATACCCAAACATAACATTTTTACCGTTAATGCAAATTTCTCCCAGTTCATTTTTTCCACAAACTTTCTCCTTTTCGTGGTTGTATATAACCACCCCTACATTTGGAATACCTACACTTTTGTACTTCTTAGCAATTTTTACGTTTTCCCCATCAGTGTGAATAAGTTTATTTGTGCTCACTTGGTGACATGCCTCTGTCATACCATAGGCCTGAAAAATGTTAGTCTCGAATTTGAGTTCTGCTTCCCGTTCCATATGCTCATCCAGTTGAGAACTGGACGTCCTAATAAACCTCAATTTGTGTTTTACCTTTGCACCATCTACGAAATAATCGCTGTCATATCTTAGAAGCAATATTTTCACAATGGTTGGTACTGCTGAGAAGTAAGTGATGTTATGACGCACGACGTCCTTCCAAAATTCAGAAGCACTAAAGGAGTGGCCTATTTGAAAAAGAACATTCCCCTTAACATACAACATTGGCATTAGCACTCCGATTAAGCCATGTACATGATACAGGGGCATCACTATGACTGTGTTGTCTTCTTTGTTCAATCCGTATGAAGTGGTAATATTCCTAATGGTCGTTTTAATATTTTCATTCGTAAGTTGAACTATCTTCACCTTACTGGTTGTTCCGGACGTGTGCAGATGCAAACAGACATCGTTTCCTTTTTTGTTCAACCCATTGTCCTCCTTTAGCTTTCTGTTCATACCAGCTTGGTGGCTACTACAACCACAGGGTCTGCTTAACGAGTACGTAAAAAACGGTGCTTCTTTATTCTTTCTAATTCGTATAACCCCAATGTTATACTCCGTGCCTAACTGCTCAATCGACTTGCACACATTTTTGTAATACCCATGTTTTTTTTTTATCGCAGAATAATTGTCGTCACCCTCATCATAATCGTGTATAATTATATACTTGCAGTTGTTTACTAAATACTTTACATACTCTTCCTTCTTCAAATTTGTATTCAATGGAAGGCATATGTTTTGGTTGTAGTTTATGCCCAGGAAGGTTACCACGTACTCGATGCTATTGAATAGGATGATGGAAATTTCCTCCCCTGGCTGCACGTTGATGCTTTTTAGAAAGCTGCACAGATTTTCTACTTCCTCGTACAGCTCTGCGTATGAGAACCGCTGCTTTTCAGTGTTCAGGTCTGTGATGTACCTGTCGCGCACGCCTTCCAGCTGTAGAAAGCTGCGCAGCGTGGGTTCCTCCGCCATCCTGTTGGCTGAGGCGGAAGAGTAACAAAAAGGGGAATGCGGTCAGATGCGAAAAGCACGCATTCCTTTCGGGGGACACCGCTGCCAACTCAGCGTGTTTCTGCTGTTACTACTCCACTTGGCGTATAGTATTATTTCCACTCATAGGGGGGCATCATGCCATTGTTTGTCTCCGCTCCAAGTCGGTGGACCTTCTCGGAAGGGCAACGCGTTGTTGTTCGTTGCGTTGGGGATGTAAGCATGGGCAGACTAGGATGCATGCACAGGTTTGCTTCCACCAAGTTGGGCGTACTCCAAAAGGTACATTGGTCAAGCTGTACAACGGTTAAGCGGTACCATGGTTAATCAGCACAACGGTAAAAATATGCTTTCACGAAATTCCGCATAAGCTCCGCTGCAGGATCGCCCCTATATCCGTGTCGACACTAAACGGTAGGTTCAATACTCAACAGCGCATATTAAATTGGCCCTTTTCGCGCATCTGGGTCACCCTACCATCCCTTTTTTTTTCAGCAAAAAAAATTAACCACTAAAATAACTCTCCTCTGCTAATGATGTGACAACACGTCTCCCCTTTCATTTTTTTTTTTTTTTTTTTTTTTTTTTTTTTTTTTTTGCGACACCGTGAGAGGCCACTTTCCCGTTTCGCCATTCTGCTATGTCAGCTGAAGTTCAGGGGTAACTATTCCTCGGAGAGTGTTTCCCCCCTGGTTGTACCCCCATTTTTGAGTTCAGCTGTGTTACGTTGCCAAGTCGGACATAACTTCACAACGTTACGGGGCCAGAATTACATCGCTATTGCTTCCTATCAAGACACACACACAAGTCCAAAATGAAACGGCGCGCCTTCCTAAGGGCGGTTCATCGCATGCAGAGGCGGTTTTTCTTCAACAGCGTCCCCAAGGAGCAGCTCAACAAAATTGTGAGCGATTATTTTTACGTGGAGCAAAAAATACATAAGGTGATTGACCATCCGGGGGCAAAAGCCCTCCAGCAGGGGGAGGAGGCAGTTGGGAAAGTGGCTCCACTGAAGAGTAAGGAGAACAAACCAAAGGAAATGGAACATGTGGACAGGATGAAGGCGGGGCAAATACAAGCAGAGCAATTAATGATGCCAATTAATGACGACCTTTGCAAATACATAAATAGCGGCAAATGTTTTGTCCACCTGTGCGCCTTCTACATTTATAACGATGAAAAAAAAAAATTTCTCCAGTTAATAAAAAATGCTATAAACTACTCGTTTGGCTACGAGGATCTCTTCATCCTTTTTTACTTCATGTGCAGAATCAATTACAAAGATAGTTACGTCCTTCGAAAAATCTTAAGCGTCCTTGAAGTATATTATTTTAAAATTGATAATCAGTTTTCCTATGACTTGTCACAGGTACTATTCGCACCGCATACCAATTTACACTCCGCCATAAATCACCTTCCTCTGATTTATAAAGTTAGGTTAGTTAATATGGACAGGGGTTGTCGCACTGGAGGTGATTCCCCCCAAGGAGAGGTTTCCATGGCGGATAATACAAAACGAAGTGATACCACCCAACATGGTGATAAAGAGCAAACACACTCCTCGGGTGAGGAACACCCACAGGGGGAGCCCCTCATGGTGCAACATATAAATGATACAGAGGCAGAAAACGTCCTCGAAAATTTACAAAGTGTAGACATGGAGCAATACGAAAAGGAGATCTCCAAGGATAGTGTGAAGTTTATTAACCTAAACGTGAAGAGGGAAAAGAGGAAAATAAAAGTCCGAGAGGGGAAGCATCAGGGGCTTAAGTTAAAAGGCACACTGTTAACTCAGATAAAACACGAGGTGGGAAAATGCGTCGACGCGGTCAGCGCGGTTGAAGCAAACGAGCAAGCAGAAGCATTCGTCGCACGGGGAGCGGAGGACGAGCGAAAAATGTTCCAAATGAAAGAAGTACTAACCATTTTTATTCACGACAAAGAACTGGCGCGCAAAAATTTGTATGTGCAGGACTTGATTGACGATGTCGTGAAGTACTTCATCGCCCAAGAGAGGACCCCTCTTCTATGCAAGAACATGCTAACTCTGCTCGCTTTCATGGACGCGCAGAACTACTACACGGATAAAAAGTTAAACCGGGCAGTAGAGCGCGCCCTGGGGGAGTACATTGCAAGTATGAACGAGTGGTCTGAGCAGCGCATATACGACTTTATAAATGGGGTGACGAAGGAAGAAGGACCAGGCAGCGGCGTCTTCCATAGTGGTGTGCATCGTCTCCACGACGCGCTTGCCTTCTTATACGACCAGCAGTACACGTACAACTTTGTCCTATACGAGGAAGACGCACCATATGGAAATAAGTTCCACCACGCAACAAAAAAATTGCTGAAAAATTTTTTCTTCCTCCTGAGTTATATGCTAAGAATGCCATTTTTGAAGTTCCATATTTTGAAGTCCTATTTAAATTCATTTAATTTCTTTTTAGATATATTTGTGAAAAACGAAAACGTGTGTAGCTCCCTCGACATGTCAGAGATTTCTTTCATTTGCGAAAGTTTCGTACGACGCAAAATTGTGGACTTAAGCATAACAGAAAAACTGCTACATCTCGTACGCCAAGCGGTTGGCAAGTGTGTGAAATTCCACCGCGCTGGACAAAATGACCCAAACACGATGGATGATGCTGATGTAGGAGAGATAGCTACCTGCCCCATTTACCTCAATGATATTCTGACCATACTGCACTTCCTCCACTTTTACAACCTCAATACGGAACAGCTGCACTCACAACTTCTTGTGATTTGCCTAGGCAATGTTCTCTACCTAAACGACACGCAAAAATTAATACTCTTTAATTGCATAGAGTCCCTGCGAAGGAAGACTCCCAATCAGACCCGCACACATTTACTGAATTATTTTATGTATGAAAAAAATTTGGAAATATTTTTGGCTCGAAATAAAAATGTCCAGAGGGAGTCATTAGGACTGCTGTTCGTTAATTAGCGCATTGAAGAAGAGAGAGGAAAGGAGAGAGAGAGAGAGAGAGAGAGAGAGAGAGGGGGGGGGAAAGACGAGTGGCCAAATGGCACATAACATCACCGTGCAAGGGGAGACAAATAAGGGAAATTAAAAAGGCGAGGCAAGGTGGTGCGGAAGAAGTGACGGAAAAAAAAAAAAAAAAAAAAAAAAAAAAAAAAATGGGACGAAGCAGATCTTGCAAAGTCTGCCCAACCTGGTGCCGCACACCACACCGGTGGATGCATAACTATATACATGGGGGAATGCAGCGAAAGGGGAAAATAAAAAAAAAAAAAAAAAAAAAAAAAAAAAAAAAATGGGACGAAGACACAATGTGTTACACTTCCTCCCCAACTCAAACGTCGTGATTGCCACCACGAATCAAGTAAAAAACGATAGAGTCCCCCACACGCAGATAAAAATTATGATAAATGTAGTCATGCTGCAACCCCTCTCGCTTCAGAAATGTAAACACGGGGTCTGGCTTGCTTTTAATTATGAAGTGGTTTCCCCAGAGGGCGTAGCTCCGGCGGCCGAGTTTTCCTGCGGAGGGGAGAATTGATAAAATGGTGAGGATATGCGGCAAGGACAAGCGGTGACATAGTTAAGCAGTTGTGGGGATAAACGGCGGTGACGATAAGCAATGGCGCTGCTGCGAAGGGACTCTCCGCTAGTACCAGGCTGGACCGCCCTATAGGTCGACTTCATAACGGTCACGTCGATCCCGGAGTAAATAGTCTTCACGTGCTTCAAATATGGAAGAAAACATTCAGACGAAACCAAGTTATCCTCCTTGATCAGCGTTTTGTATTCCTCTCTGTCGTACCATAGCTGGTCATCCAAGCCGTTAGTGTACGTGACGTGTCTGCTCAATTTATTCTCCATAAAAATAATTGAATGCAAATTAACAGTGCCGATTATGTTAAATAAATTTATTGGTATACATATGTAGTCATTGGCACAGACGTCATTACTTATGATGTGCGAGACGTTAATGTCATCTCCATTGTTATACGAAATGTCTTTGTGTATTTCAATTTTTCTCGGTATGTTTTTTTTAAGTACGTTGAAATTGTAGTACACGTGATAGCTGCTTTGCTTTTTGGCGTCGAACTGGTACTTGTACTTGTAACCGAATCGGTTGTTGTACCCGACAGCGCGCTTTTCAATCTGCAGGGGGGGGGGGGGGGGGGGGAAAGCAGTGTTGTGGAGAGGCTTCTTTAGGGAGAGACTGCTTTACGGAGCGAATTCCTTTATGGGGAGGAAGCATGGTAACGCGGCGAGTTACCCATCGACACCCCACTCACCTTCGCGAGTAGGATGCAGTCCAGACGGAAAGACGGATTCTCCGTGTACAGCACCTCGTATTTGTAGAAGCAATCGAAGGGAGTGAAGTACCCCTCGTAGGCTCTCTTAAATTTTAAAAATATGTGCAGGCATATATAATCTAAGAAGTCGCTCACGAGGACGTAGATCATGGAGCACGTTTTTTGCAACTCCAACAAATCCCTGCAGTTCATGAATGATAAAATGTTCCGCAAGATGTTTTTCCCTTTGAGTAAATTTAGGAACCTGGTGCTATTGCCCGCCGTATGACTTGGCTTCTTCGAGTAGTTAAGACATCTCTGCGTGTCTCCCTGTTTGCACATATGAATATTCATTCCCCTTGACTTGACTGGCTTTTTCCCCTGGGTGTGGGGCACATCCGTGAGTAGATGCAGAGAAAGCGAATTGAAGGAGGACTCATCGCGGTTCTCACTGCAACCCGTTGGGGCACTCTCCGACACGCTGTGCGCAGCGCTCCTCATCCCACTGTACGATTCGAAGGTGTGCCCGACGGAGATATCCCCAACCGTGCTGTCCTTTGTGTCGTCAACCATGTGTACACTTTCACCCTTTCGTGTAGCAACTGTGCTGTTTCTTTCTAAACTACTTTCTTTTCTTCGTAACGTGGCTCCCTTTCTTCGGTTACCCCGTTTCAACTTCGAATCCTCCCCGTCATTTCGTTCTTCAGAAATGTTGCCTCGTTCCTTTATTTTATTTTTTTTTTTCACGTGGGTGCTACTCCTCACCTGCGAATACATGCTGGATCTTTCGTCCACGGTGAAGAAGACGCCGTAGTCCAGCTCAAAGTGTCTCTTCTCATTTGGGGAATCACTTCGTCCATCACTCTGGTGATCGCTTCGTTGTTCAGTAGCACTCTCCCCATTGCTATCCCCATGATCACCATACCCATGGTGCTGCTTTTTTTTTAACGTTGTGGGTTTCCCCTCTTCGTGTCTTCCTGCGTCCGTACATTTTCTACTCACGTGTGTTCCTCCCCCATGTGTGTGCGTTTCCCGTTTTCTGAAATTTATTTTAACGTACGTGCCATCTCCCCCCTGGTTGCTCTTCTCCGCAATGCCTCCATTTTCACTCACCCCACCACAATCACTTTCTTCTTCTGCCTTGTAGGCTTCAAAAATTTCAGAGTTGACATTGCTAAGTTCTTTTTCTTTGAGTAGAGAAATGTAAATATTCCTTCCAACATCAAGGTTGTGTTTTTTTTTAATTTTATTTTTTATATTTTTGTACATAATAATTTGTCTTTGTTTATTTTCTGAAATTTTATTTCCCATCATGCTTGGCTATAAGGGAGGGGTTACAAGGTTTGTTTGTGTGTGCAGTGAATGGGGGGGGAGTTATTATCACCACTTGGCACATGGAGGAAGCCTGAACTGGTTTTGCTAGACGCAGAAATGAACAGTGGCAAATGCATCACTCTGAAGGAGGCATATAAAAATCTGCCTGTCCGCGGATGTTCTGAGCGCAGTGATGATTGCTTGGAGGTTTTTCCTCACGCTCGTTCGACGCGTGTATTTTCCCTTTTATTGGCCTCTCTGCGCGTTTGTTTTCATCTCAAGATGGTTTGGTTTCCATTTTGATGTTTCCATCTCTCTTCATTTTAACGTTTTTTTTTTTTTTTTTTTTATCCATCTATTTTACTGTTTTTT